CTGGTCGTAACCCGAAAAGTTCGTTAACAGAGGCGTTCGTAACCCGAGGTTCCACTGTAGTCCTAAAAATGGGATGATACAACGTGCTTACCTTCCTTGAGGTGCAACATGTACAGTTCCTGTAACCTTCAGGGCTCTCTCCATGAAACTCAGCATGGTGGGTGAAAAGGAAGATATCACCGTTAAAAACAATGTACATATACCTCCCACCCCCATCACCACTTTGGGTGCTTCCTAGCATACCTTGTTCGAAAGAGAGTGTAATAACTGGCAGATGTGTTCTCAAATTACAATGATCCTTGTGATCAGACTACATTCCTTTGACCAATCAAAATGTGTAATAACTAAGCGTTATTTATTTTTTTCAGGAAAATATCTAGACTTCAATTCAGTAAAGTGAAAGTTGAAGATACAGGGGAATACAGTTGTGAAGCAGAGAACGTGCTGGGAACAGACATAGCCACAGGCAGTCTCACAGTCAGGAGTGGTAAGTTATAATGTCGAATCAAAATGATACATTTAGTTTCAACTGGCTTTTACAATTGTTGGGAGAAGAAGACCAGATATAAGCATGCCTTCAGGGTGTATGTGCGCAGGTGTGTGCTCATGAAAAAGAAGACAGTTGTGATATCAATTTGGTTAAAGGTTCTTTGTTATTGAAGCTGCATTTTTATTCAATTAGGCTACTAATCCTTATTCAAAATTTCAGAGGGTCTACAGATTTTTATAATACAGCAATATGTTCTGGTAAATATGTCCAGTGTGAACTTGGGATAGGTTGTTATTTTAGATTAAATAATGCTAAGTATAACAAGACGTGACTGCAACTAAAGCTACTGGATGCAGGTGAAAAAAACAAAGAGAAGCTGTCTATTTTGTGCTTGTTTGTGGTCTTTCCCACAAACTCTGTGCATTTTGGATCCCAATTCTATGTATCAGAAATAAGCTCCAGAGTGGTACCTTCTCTGAAATATGTGTACATAGGATTGCAACCACATGCATGTCTGCTCAGGAAGAAGTCTCATTGAGGCAAATGGATCTTTCTCCTAGGTAACTGTGTGTAGGATTTTGTTGCAAGCCAGGTATTTAATTGCATTGAATAATAATGCTCTAAAGATCCCCATTACTTGCTCTAATAACACAATAAACTTAACAGAGAAAAAAAAATCATTTTAGCTTTTTCTTGAATGTGCATTCTTCCTGAGTGTTTTTGCAGGATTTCTACAACAGAATGTTGTTCTAATTCTCAAACATTCCCTTTTCACTAAGTGGTTGGTTTTGATACTGTAGGGATAGGCTTGTTAGGAATGCAAGCAGGGTGGCTCTGCACAGTTTCTGCTCCTATTCATCCGTACTATAAATTTATTATTTGAATGTCATGTTCATTTGGGGACACATAGTGCCAAACAAAATTAATATTCTAGTATCAATGTTATGCAGCATTCTGGTGTGATGTACCTTATGTTCAGATAACAAAAGTTCATAGTTTCTGCCCTTCCTCCCAGCCCCCATCAAAAGGACAGGGCAGGTAGCAGTGCTGGGAAAGTCTGCTGTTCTTCTGTCTCTCTCAATGCATCTTGTGTTTTCTTAAGCCTTCCTTTGTATCATCTTTTGACGGTCTCTACCGTTGGAACTCTTTCTCACCATTTATATTTAAATGACTGTCTTTTGTTTGTCTGACTCTCTTCTTAACATCATTTATATATGTTACTAGATATTGTCCTCCCATCTTTGACCTTTGTGCTGCAGTTGATTCTTGCACCATCCTTGATTCCTTCACCTTTATAGGTTTCAGAAACTCTATTTATTTGTTCAATCTATAAGTTGCTGCAAGCATCCAAGTGACTTTAGGCCCTCTACAACATATTTACTCAGTAAAACAAGTGGAAAAGAGTAATAAAAAATAACCAACACCCCTTCCCCAATATATATTATTGTATTGGAAAAGAAAACACCAAGGACCAAGGACTAAATCCCACTATTATTGCAGGGTGATAGGTTGTCCTGATGAAAAAGCCCCATTTTAAGGGCTTTCCTAAATGACAATGTGCACTTCAGGAAATATACTACCCCACAGGACAGGGTCAGCCATAGAAAAGGTACATCTCTGAGGTCCCACAAGATCTCATAATTTTAATGAAGGGACCTGGAGCAAGCATGTTCTACTAATTTATTCTGTATTCATCTGGTTCTTTTCAAATTGCTCATTCTGCTAGAGAACTGCCCTTGCAGCATTCTTTGCAGTGGTTCCTCTGCATTTTTTGCTCAGTACATGTATTTGTATTGCATTGACCATACACTCAAAAGGCAAGCAACTGAAAAAATATCCCCCACCCAAAAAACACAACCCAGTGGTTTTCAGGATCACTTGTAGTTGATGACATTTCTTTCCTTTCTTTGCCAGTATTTTGATCCTCTCTACAGTCCTGTAACTTCATACCTTTTTTTTTTTCATAGATGTATACCATAATTTGAAATGCAATTTGTCACATACCAGCTATCCCCATTGCCATGGATGTTTTGGGGGGTTGGCAAAGTGATAAAATGTGTGCCACAATGTCACAACAAAAACTCTGAAAATTGTAATTTGTGTCTGATGTCAGGACATAAGTACATAAGTCCAAAGTTTATTTCAATACATTACCAGGGGTGTATGGTCATTTTTCCATCACTGTAGCTAGCTGCAGACACTTATGCACTTTTTGACCATATCTGTAATAGCAATACTAACACTTTCCTTCTTGTTTCATCCTATGTAGCCATTAACAAGATCACTTTTACCCCTGACAATAAGAGAAGTATAGAGAATTTTTTCTTCCTGTTTTGTCATCTTTTAATTCAAAGTAATCCATTGAAATTAAATGCAGAGAGACTTACCACCAATAAAAGAATACTTCACATAATACACTATTAGATTACAGCAGGCATTGCCATCTCATGTGCCAGTGGCCAATGTGATAGTTTTAAATGGGGACTAGATAAATACATGAATGGTAAGGCTGTTTGCTTTGATAGCGTATACCACCATCTGAATCAGAGGTAGCATTGTTTAATACTTCAGCTGAGAGGCAACTGTAAAAAAGGGGTAACATTCAGATCCTGCTTGTGATTCTTTCTCTGACTTTCCTGTAGAAATACTTCATTGGTCTCGCCTCTGTCCAGGTCTTCCTTGCTGACTGCTTTGCATCCCATCAAGCTTGATGAAGAAGCCTGAAAAATATGGATGCTTGTGCAATGTTTTCTGACCTTTCGGTTGACCCAATGAAGGTTTTGTCCTAATATAGATATTGGCATCTTGCTTATGGCCTTTGCTTTAGCCTGCCAAAATCATTTATTTCTCTGCTTGGTACATAGGGCTGCACTCCTCAAATCTTTTCATTGGTACTGGCTTCCCTAATGTTCCGTCTCTGCAGCCTTGCCTTTGATTTTTGCACTTTTAACTGTGCCATCCTCCACAAAGCTCTGCAAGGCTTAACACTTAGACCTTAGAGAGCATGGTGCAAGACAGGAGCATAGCTTAGTGATAAGGAGCACACGGCTTCTAATTTTTATTTTAAAAATAACTTTCTGGTAAAGAAAGATACTCTGAAGCCATGCAACTCAGATTTTAGAATAGTTTAAGTGTAAATATTGGTATCTAAATGATGTATTGACTAAAACTATTTTGTGATTAAGCTTACATTTCTGCATGATAAATACCGAAGTCGTTATTATGAAAGTAATCTACATATTTTGAGAATGTAAACATGTTTTGCACTTTGTGTGATTTGCAGTGTTGTACTGTGTATTGTTATAAATCAAGGAGTTGGTCCCTTTTCTAATTGGAATTTTATTCTGGATAGTGGTAGTGATAATAATGATAAAAATGAAGATTTAGTCATTCATAAATTATACATAATATAGTTCTTTTAAATGACAATGATGAATTATGAAAGCCATTGAGCTATGTGGATGCAAAATATCCAAACACTTGGTAATGAGTAAAACTGGAGTGTGGGAGCATGAGAAACGAACATATTATTTAATCCTGGGAATGGTTTAATAAACAAAATCACCTAAAGTTCGCAGTTCTTAATTTCACTGGTTTAATAGTTGGCAATTTGTCCAACTCAGATGTAGAAAACAGAAGATTTGGTTCCCAGTGCACTGAAATAGGTAATGATAGGAAGTAGCAATGTAAACTGCATTAGAAATACTGTTCCTTGGAGATGAGGATAAATCTTATCACTAAGCTATGCTCTCTGGAGACTTCTATTTTCCCTGTTTCAAAACAAACATTGGAGAGCAGGAATAATGACAGAACAAGCCAATCAAAATGATCTGGAGGTTGAAGAAAGCTTACAACTTTGTATCCTTTAAGTTCAGCAAACCGTGAGTGAGGGGAAACGTGACAAATGTTATAGCATAATGCATCATTTGGAGAAAGTCATGCTATAGGATGCACTGTTGACAGTCATCTTAGATAGCTTTAAAAGAAGTTAGTCAGATTCATGAAGATTCATGAATCCACTGACTGTAAATCATGATGCGTTTGCGTTACTTCCAGTGACCACCCTGTCATATTGCCTCCCATCGCCCTACTGGCTTTTAGATTTCAGCTGCCCTGCTGCCACCACCCTGTTGCCACCGCAACACCTCTTTAATTCAAACATGTATTTTCCTGAGCTGCACAGCCAACCATGGGAGCCCCGGAAAAGCTGTGGCTTCTTTAAGGAGCAGTCAAACCATAGAAGGTGCCCACTTTTTTCCCAAAGCACCCTTTCTAACTTTGGGTCAGAGTATTGTGTCCTTTGATTATTTATTTATATTATAGAGAATCACTTTGGAATGAACTTTTTTATGGTTGCATATCCATTTTACAAAATGTTTAAATTAACCCATTAAAAAACATTGTAATGTCAAAAAAGCCAATCTCTGTTTAAGCTTGAGTTAAAACGACTCCCCTCAGTCTTTTCTTTTGGTAGACTTTCTTAATGTAATTTAGGAAGTACATAATGCTGGACTTAGGCTTACCAATTAAATGATACCAGTAGATTGGACATTTTAAAGATTTCATACCATACAAAAAGTCTGTGAAATATAGCAAGTATCCTGGCTCATGAGGTAAATTTTCCAGAAGTTATTAGGTATACAGTACAATCATTTTTATTTTCAAACCATTGGATGGAGAACACAGAGTAATTTCTGGTTACTTTCTTCTATTTGTTGACATTTTTAAAAAAACCTTTATTACAGATTCTTTAGGTGTCCTATAAATTACTTAGCAGATAAAAAAAAAAAACCCTAAAAACATCACCAAGAAGTAGCCTGATAAAATGCGGAAACAAATAAAAAGCTAATGTAAACCAAATAAAATTCAGTAAAATTTAGGAAATTGAACTAGCTAAGCAATAAAGCAAAAAAATAAGTCAACAAACATAGTAGAGACATTGAGATTAAAAAAAAAATTCTATTTAAAATTGTTTAAAAGGTTATAAAATAAAGAAAGATCAATAGTACATACAATTATCAGAGAGAAACTTGGAAAGGCTTTCAAATTCAAGGTAGGTCAGGTAAGTCAGGTCAAGAAATGGACACCACAGGGATTCCAAGAATGCTTCTTTATTGTTGTAGGCTATGTAACAGAATTGTAAAATACTCTCCAAGTTTCTCTCTGTCTTTTGCTGAATTAAATCAAAGCAGGATTATATGAACATCTTTCTCATGCTTGCTTCAATCTCTGGATAGTGTAATTACTTTTCCAAGTCCTTCCTTAATGGCTCACTCCTTCATTCTCCCCTCAATGGCTCTTTCATTCCTTTCTCAGGGTTTCCTTTACAAGTTTCAATCTCTCATCAAAAGGCAGTGGGATCATTTTTTTAAAAAAAATATTAAATTGTCACAGCCAGCAACATTTGTGGGGGTTCAGGATTTGTAGAATGGAGGGTACAGCATAGCAGTTAATGCCCAACTCTTTTGTACTTGTGTTGACATTATACAACCTTACAAAAGGAGTAAGCTTTTGATTGTAATGATTGTACTCGTCATTTTGCAAATTTTGACACACACAAACACACACACCATAACTATCACAGGACCAGGTCCCTAACTCTCCTTACCTCTTTCTCTTCAAGAAATTGTGATCACAACTAAATCTATATGTAGCAATGTTGAGTACCCAAGTCTTCTGTCTCAGAAGCCTTCTGAGTTTTCACAACCTGGCCTTACCCCTTCTAACTTTGGGGTAGAATCTGGGTAGCTGCCACCACCTGTCCTCCAAGGGGTGCCTCACTTGGCATCTACTCCTGCAAGAGAGACAAGGTTGTCATACCCTTTGTTGCTTTTCTGGTGATTAAAAGGTCAAAATGCAAATATCAAAATAATTTGGATAGTGCCACCTATTAACTATGTAGTGTAGAGGTGTGGTGACCAAAAGATTTTGCCCCTTCACCTACCCACCCCCAACTGGGGAGTTGGGACATATCTCCTCCCCACAGGAGCGAAACAAGATCAAACTTTATTATTAAAATAAAATAAAACGTACCCCCCCCTTTTAACTTCAAGTATTAAAATTCAGACATTCAATAAGGAAAATATAATTACAGAGCTGCCCAGATCACAATAATACAGCAGTTTGTAAATTATTTAACAGCAAAACCCCAAAAGAAAATCCAGTACTGTGGACAGACCACAGGGTGGTGTTGGTCTGCTACAAATGAGGAACTCTCTGCTGTACTATTACAGATCATAAGAACTTTCAAAATACTATGGATTACAAGAAGACTCTAAAGAAAAAAAATCAGGAACAAGAGGTCCAAAGTATTGTTTTCTGTTTTCCTAAATAGCATTACTATAAGAAAATAGAATTTTTGAATTATACTGTCAAGCTTCCCTAGAATATTTGTCTCCTGGTTCTTAGACATAGATATTTATTTTGAGGCAAAAAGTGCCTTTTTCTCTTTTTACTAAAACACAAATCTTTTACATGTTAAAACAAAGAAAGTTGAGTATAGCATAGCATTCACATAGTCAAATCATGAACAGATTTCTACATCAAAAATGGCTTCTTACCAGCTTTATCTGAAGTATATACTAGAAAAAATGGACTTTCTTTTTCGGATAGCTTCCCTGCAGATTTCTCTATTACTTTTTCTAATCTAATTTTTCTAATCTATTTAATTTTCATGTTGCATGTCTACTCAGTGGTAAATCACCTCAATGACATCATCCTTTTCCTCAAACCTTAGTCTATTCCTCTGTCAAATATTTGCCTCAGTGCAGATAGATCACTATTAAATAAGACAATTCTCTCTAAAATGTCTATGTCTCTGTTCTAGCATTCTTTTTTTTTTTTAGCTCATTGTCCCTCTGGAAGTGCTGCCCACCACAAATTCTACAAAACATGCAATGCCTGAGGCACCCTACATTTTATTATCCTTTCTGGATCTGGCATCTACAGCTAAGATGTCTCTCGATGCCAGGCAAAGGAATGTCACAAGTCTCTTGACAGAAGCCTTCCTTGAATTGCATTTGGTCTATATGAACTGCTGTTTTCTCAAAGACTGATTCCCCGATAGTCTCTTCCAAACAAAACAGTAGTTCCCCTGTCATGGTGTTTGTTTTTTTTAAAACACCTTTTAACCCCCTTTGTTCACCTCCCTATAGCAGCCCAATCTGCTACAATGCCCAGAAATTGTAGTTTGATGTGTGCATGGTGTAGGTATAAGAGAAGAATAGAACAATAGATTTGGAAGGGGCAGTTTAGGCCCTAAATCAGGAATCCAAATTCAAGCATCGCAGAGAGTGGGCTGTCTAGTCTCTGCCTGAACATGTCTGATGAAGAGAAGCCCTCCAGCTGTCACGATGATAGGCTCCATTGTCAGCTACTCCTAGAGTTAGGATTTTTTTTTCTAACATACAGGAGGACTCTGCTGTCCTGTAACTTGTGTCCATTATTCTGTATCTCGCACTCGGGAACAAAAAGAGAGCAGGCATTAGCCGTATTCATAACATCCTTTCAGTTACATCATATTTTCTCAAGGTTAAACATTCCCAGCTCCTTCAAATGTTGTCATAGGCTATAGTTTCTAGTGCCCTGATCATGTTCATTGCCCGTTTCTGAATCCTTCTTGGAAAAAAAAGGAGAGTTTTCTTGAAGTAGTGCCTTGATTATTTTGGTAATATTTCAGTACCAAAAATATTTCAGGTTTTCAATCCAACTTTACCTTGCTGACCTTTTAGAAAACACATTTTTTTGTTTGTTTTCATTTGTACTACATGCTTTATTACATTTTTTTAGAGTCCTTGTAACTAGACCTGGAAATTGTTGAAGAGCAAAGTACAAATTCCTATACTAATAGAAGTAAATAAATGAAATGGTAAATCTAGATCTATAGATTGTTGCCCCTCCCTCCCACTTTTTAAAGGAATTTTCAGTGTAGCAACTAGTGCACTTAAGAAACCAAATAGTTAAATAACAAGGTAACACGTCTCCTTTTCCTTGCAGTAACCACAACTCTGCCTTCTGGGCCTGGACATACTAGACAATGCAATGAAACAGTGAAATCCTATTGTGTGAACGGTGGAGTGTGCTACTACATTGAGGGCATAAATCAGTTGTCATGCAGGTAAGGGAAAGCGTTTCTTCTCTCCAGCTCAAAGGCACCTTTGCAATCCAGTAGAATAAATGTAACATGCAAAAGGGCAATGTCATAGTGGTGGATATTTGGCAATGAGATTAGTTAAGGAGAGAAGAGGCTGGTTGTAGTGGCATAGCTACTGATTCCATTACTTTTAGCTTTGTATAGATCAATGCTATAGAAGGTTTCTTTCTCAATCCATTTGTTCTGGGTCATTAGAATCAATGCCCCACTCTCTCCCCCAGCTCCATGTTCTCTTTTTCTCTTTTTTCCAACTCAAGGAAGGGTGGCCTGTTTCCCTTTTCTCTGCAACCTAGCTACTCATGATAGCATCATTTTTCTAATGAAAAAAACTTGAATATTCATAGTCCAGACCCACCAGATTTGGACTGCAAACATTTGGATGGGTACTAGATGGAAGCAGAGAGATACAGAAAGTCTTAATTTTTTACTGTCATCTATATTTTTGCAGCCCAAATCTGGTAGCCCAGTCACTGTCATAATCAAAAGTTTGATATCACAATAAAGGTATCAGCAAAAGGCATTGCTTTTTTTATTTGTACTTTTATTTGCCTATAGATAAAATTAGTAATTATTAAATAAAACTGGAAGGAAAAAATGAGAAACATAATAAACCTAAGTTTTATAGGAAAAAGAATGAAAGACGTTTAAATCTCTGCTTAAAAAATTAAAAAATATAATGCCAGAGACAGTAACGAAAGCTGGCATTTCTTGAGGCCTCCCATAAGATAACTGTTTGAAGAATAGGTGTACATACAGGATCTGAGGTACATTTCCTTGCAATTTTCTGATACTGAGTGATCTAACAGCAGTTATGGCTGGTGTTCATAGCTGGTTTATAGAGAGATCTTCAACTAAAAATCTATGGCCTGGCCCTTTGCGAGGCAGCTGCTGGCCACACGAGGCTTTCTTCCCAAGGTTGCACACAGCGGTTTCCTCATGAGATCTGGGGAAGATGGCCTCATGTGGCCAGCAGCTGCCTTGCAAAGGGCCAGGCCAGGCATGCCTCAGCAGTGGAAGCAAGAAGATGGAGAAGGTCAGCTGAGGCAGCGGAGTGTGGGGTGGGAGACCCTCAGAGTGCAGGGTGGCAAAAGCAACTGTGACTAGGACTGGGCTGGGGCGCTGTGGATTCGGCTTCACGCCACACTGCTGGGGCGGCTGGGGCTTCCAGGGGTGGCTTCACACTGTGCTGCTGGGGCTTCCCAGGGCGCAGCAGCTTTGCACTGCACTGCTGGCACTTCCTGGGGCACTGCAGATTCATACTGTGCTGCTGGGGTGGCTGGGGCTTCCAGGGGTGGCTGCAGCTTTGCACTGCACTGTGGCTCAGGGTCTTCTTGTAGCCCCAGAGCCGCAGCACCAAGAAGCCCCTCAGCTGCAGCGTGGCAAGCAGCCCCAGAGCTGCAAGGTCCTGAGGCTGCTTGGCGCCCCACTAGGCAGGGTTCAGGGACGCCAAAAGGGCAGAAATGGGGAGGAGAGATAACCAAGTGGTGGGAGTTGAAAAGGAGGCAGTTCCTTACCTTACCGAGGCTCAGGGCTGGGAAAGACCAAACCCGGAATGGCTTTGATTGGGGTGGGTCCTCGGCTAACAACCACTGGGATTCAGTTAATGATGGCAATGGGGAGTGCCAGGAGTGCCGTCACTAAGTGATGCTGTCACGTGATGTTGCGCTTTATGACTGCATCGCTTAGCAATGGTAATTCCGGTCCCAATTACTGTTGTAAGCTGAGGACTATCTGTAGGACTAAATACTATTTTCCCAGAACATTTTTTTACAAGCTGTTATCCTCACTTCCCAGAACCACTAATTTTGATCCGAAAATTGAAATAGGAGAAAATTTGATAGAATCTTACAGCAGGTAAACTTGGTTTTCAGCTTTCATGATCATCAGGTAACTCCTCGTCCCTTTTAGTCTGCTGGACCTTCTGCACAATTTTTGACTGAATTTCTTCTCATAATCTGATGATACCATTAGTTTACCCAGCTGTTACATACATGCTATTTCCTTTAGGTAGCTCTCTCCATAGAGTTTGGGCAGCTTGGTCATTCACACTATTTACTGGAGTTGAACCATTTTCCTGAAATGAAAGAAAAGCTTTCCAAATTGGGTGAGACCTGAAGCAGGTTATATGCACAAAAATGAAAGAGTTTTATGACAGTGTGAAGTTTTCCCTGTAAGCTATTTGCTCAATGTTTATAACTGTTAACAATACTAATTTATTTTAATTGATAGAATTGGGTCAATGAATGCTTGATCCTATTTTTGGCCCCTCCATGTCATTTCATTTTCCTTGTCATCTGTACTTTTATAGCTGTAATATAGATGTGTTTCAGAGAAGTTTATAAGATTTTAGAGCAGTATTGCATGTGCATCTATTGTGTTGGGACTGGGATTGCTTTGAGAAGAATTGGCTTTCTGTTCACTTGCATATTTATAATAAGAAGTTGTTACAAAAATGTCATCAGATTCCAGCATTCTCTTTCCTAAAGAAAGCTAAGTGATCTTCTGAATCTCTAATCTCCCACCACAAGGAGGAAAGGACATGTGGAACACCACAAATATAATATTTGCATGTACTGTTAAAAGTAATGTTCTTTTATTCATTGCTTTCAGTGAGACGTGTGAAAGACATAAAACATGGTTGGTTTTATAATATAAGTATGTTCCATTATCCATTCAGTTAACTTTTTTGTTTTGACTCTGGACGCTGCCAAAGGAATCGATACAGCTCTCGTTATCCATCTTTGAAATTCAGAGCAGTGTTTGCTTGATATGGAACATGCACTGTGGCTTGTGGGTGGGGTTGTCTGTGAGGATCTGCTTTGGTTCCATATCATGCTGCCACATGAGTTCTCATAGGTCAGCAGAGAGTGCATTAGATTAGAAAGGAAATGAGGCAAGAGAGATGCAAATAAAGTTGCCAGTGAGTTTTCTTCTGAAGTGTTTTTCATTACTTTTCTTAGATAAAACATTTGTACAAAAAATATTTCATCAGACCAGTGAAATGTCTCTATCCCCACTGTCGTGGAACTTCACCGAAAGAGACATTTTAAGTAGATTTGGAAATTTCCTCTAAAGCAGACATTTCCATGGAAAATTTTAATATAGGATTGCATGCCTGGAATGTACTGTACAAACTGGGATAGATTTGTACAAATACTTCCAGAATTGCAAACTACTTTCTGTAACTACTAACTACTTCAAGAGCCTCGGAATTTCCCTATATTCTTTCTTCTTTAGATTAAAAAAACAAACATAATTTCAAGAATCTTTCTAAGTTTTCTACAATTAGCACTCCTGCTTTGTTTTCACAACTGTGTATTGCTCTTTAAGGAGACACACATTTCCTGTACCAATAAATTTCCCTTTTCTCTCCCATCCTACTCTTTCTATTCCTGGAATTTCTTTTTCCTTTATTAAAATAATACTTAAATATCCCCTGTTAGACTATTAGAATTGTTTTGCATTTGATACAGTAACAGATATTTGACAATTATATTTCAGACTTTCTCCCCTTTTTAGCACATTGCTTCATATTTATGTTAAAGTGACAGTGGTGCAAATTCAGCATGCTTTAATAATCGCAGCCCATAGTTATAAGAGCCTGTGCCAGAAACAGAGGGAAACATCTCCTGCTTTACTGGAAAAAAGAAAAAAAGAAAATTAAAAAAAGAATGAGGTCCTTGCCCCAAGGTGCTTGCTGTAGTGGGAGTTGGGGTTGGGCTGGAGGAAGAAGAAGAAACACAAAGGAAAGGAAAGAGGAGAAACAGATGTGAGCAAACATACTAACCTATAATTTAAGTTAAAAAAAATAGACAGCTATTGAGAAGAAATGGGAAAGAAGCATGTTTCTGAATTCATTGTGATAGTTCTCCTAGATCACAAAAATAATTGATTCCTTATTATGTCTGCCAAGTCAACTGTCACACTGTTCTTATTTTGTTCTTATGAACTAGCATCATCTATTTTTTTATTCAGACTAATTTTCAAGATGGTTCTTACAGGTCTTCAAAAGTGGAGAATAACCTGTAGTTTTAGGATCCTGTCCAATTTATTCAGCAGCTGTTCAATAAAATAGGTGCTTAGCCCAATTCTTATGCTTTTAATAACTGAGTTTTTGCTTGTCATTCCTCACAAGCTATAGCAATTGTTTTCTGTAAGGGTACAAAATATGATCCTTCAAAATGAAACTTTTGAAAATTATTATTGTTGTCGTTGCTGTTGTTATTTTTTTTATTTGAATATTGTTCCTTCTCCTGAAGGATACCAGTTCAATAATACCTTTTGAAATATGTTTAAGAGTCCCTAGAATTTGAATATATTACACAATTTCCTTTCTTGGTTTTATTCTAATTCTTTAATCAGAACAAGAATCATAGATCCATTTGGCCAGAGACCCAAATGTTGCTTTTTCCTTCAAGTGAGAGCATTCTGCCAGTATACTTTATTAATGAATTGAGTGATTGAGTAAAAGTTGTAATGTAAAAAGAAAAAGATTACTAAGACTATATTGCTTTTGCTAAGTTTATGTTTTGCTCATCTTTAGCAGATGTAAAATAGAGGATGGATCTGTATGTTATATAAATCTGAATAATAGCCTTAAGTAGCTAAAAGCTACTTAAAAAAAACCTAGTTTTAAACAAAGCAAATGGCAATGACACATTGGACCTCACTGCTGTCACAATTTTTTCAATGGAAAGTTTGTCCTGCAGCATTTTCTTCCTGAGAATTTGTGGAAAAGGTGTTCACAGGAGAGCCTTTAATCTGGCTGACCCAAATCCAAAGATACCTGTTACTAAAATTTGATTCTGTCATGGCTGGTGTGGAAATAATAATATCATGAACCTGAATGAAACAATCTGTAGGATAGTTTGCTGAAGTATTTATGCAGTTAGATCCAGAAGAAATAAAGGAATAGTCATTCCATTAAAGTCTGTTGTGTTTATATGGCAGAAAATAATATTGAAAGTGGTTTAGGAGTAAGTCCTATGTTTCAAAGTGCATGCCTACACCCAATTATAGGTCACCTTGTGAAGATACCCATTCTTTCCCCAGCAGTAATACCTGATATATAAAGAATATATACATAAAGTTTTTCAACTTGTCCAGAAAACACATTTTAATACATTACAGAGCCAAAAGGTACAATCCTATACACGGTTACCTAAAATTTGACTCCAAAGGGAACTTTCTCTTTGGTAAGAATGCAAAGGTCTTAAGAGATGTCTTCTGAAAAGTGGAAGAACCTCAGATTTTCAGAAAAACTTTTCTTTGTTCACTTTTGGCCCACCCACCTGTGCAACTATTTTGTTTATTCATTTGTTTGTTAGATGTAGTCAGTTGTGTGAACACTTTGAATTCTACTCTAGACTTCTGCCTGTATCAACAACATTGGAGAGCTGATTTATTTCTGGCTCAGATTTGGTGTAGCGGAAATTGCTACAAATCTAGGACTTTTCCTTCCTTCTTTTTAAGGTGCTGTGGTTCCCTTTCTCCTGTTGGAGGTAAACTCTTCTCATAATAAGCGTCTGCAGGGGGCTAGGGGCACAAGTGACACAATATGCGTTGTAACATCACACTGCAAACCTATGACTTATCTACCATATTTGTGTCTGACTTCAGGACACAAAAGGCCAGGGTTTGAACTATGACTTCATGAGGAGGTTGTTGCTGATGGCCCTGCAGCAGATCATGGGTAGGGAGTAGAGCTTTTGCTTCTTATTCTCAGTATGTCCGATTTAGCAAAAATGAAGATAATCATAGAATCCTTCAAACTACTTATAAGGGTTTGGGAAGTGAAAATGGTGGTGGTGTGGAAGTGTCCTGTGTCACTGATAGCATCACAGATTTCCATCTGTCTATAATGTACTTTGCTTAGTCAGCTGATTATACTAATGATGTGAAATCCAGCTTCACACAATGTGAATGGAAAACTGGCAGTTCCAAAGAGTGCATTGCAGATGACCCGAATCAAAAATTGGAAAGAGCATTGAACACTACTTCATGTCCCATTACTTCCCTTCTGGAAATCAGGATCATTTTAATCACTAGACCTGAGAGAGCAGCAGTTCTCTCAGGTCACACAGCTGAAACAGATTCCACAAATTGTGGATGCTTAGAAGGTTTATAAACTCAGAAATCATGGAAAGATTTCAGATGAAAAGACATAGGGAAGTCAGCAAAGATTAAACTCAGGTGTCTTACATAAGAAGCTTTTTTTTTTAAAAAAAATCATCACTGTGCACTTTTATTTCTAACCATAGCCTCTAGGATGATGCCAGCCTTGTTCTGTGATTTGTCCCCTTTTCCTCCTCCAGATGTCCAAATGGATTCTTCGGACAGAGATGTTTGGAGAAACTGCCTTTGCGATTGTACATGCCAGATCCTAAGCAAAGTATGTTTGAAGACAAAAATTGCACCACCATACTACTTAAAAATCTCCTGGGTACAACGCTGGATTTAGAGTGGCATAGTGAGGGTGTTCTTTTCAGTTAGTATCTTGATTAAGGTTTAGGGAACACAGGTAAGGGACCAGCCAAAAACACGCACCAGAAGAAATCTCAAAAGGGAATTCAGTTGGCATCAGAAAGGACCTCATTTCAGTCTGTTTGGATATCATGCTATCCTGTTTCTCTCTTTCTGGTTTTCTTTCTTTCGTTAGGTGTCCGAATGAATTCACAGGGGACCAGTGTCAGAACTTCGCAATGGCCAGCTTCTCCAGTATGTCTCTTTCCACTTCTCTCTTTCTCTGATTGGTCTTAGCTGTATGATACTTTTAAAGCAACTCTTTTCTGATTTGGAGCCTTCATTCTCTTGCTGTGTGGTTGAAGAGCTATTAAGTTCAGTTCTACTCTGAATATAAGTATATCAATGTTCAATATATATAATAAATATCAATTATATCAATATTGCACAATATTGCACAATCAAAATCTAGCAAAGACTGAATCAAGTTTAATGCAAAATGGCCTAAATCCTCCTAGATTTAGGAGGATTTTGGATGAGGACCACAGATGGGGCTAACCTTGTACTAATCCACCTTATATGATAAACCTGGAGGCGCCTTAGAGTAATCTCACAGATAGACTCCCCTTATACAGACTTGGAAGCTTTCTTATTACCACCGCACAGAAGCCTGTTAAATCAGATTGTTTGTGGCACTGGCTCTTTCAGAAGGATAATTCATTGTAAAACATAGGGCTTTATGTTTTTTGTTTGTTTGTTCAGAAGCCCGGGTTTATGGATCAGGTGTGTAGTTCGTTCTTACAAAAATGTACACCTTTTAATTCTCCTCCACTAGAAGTTCTTTACTGGCTTGCACTCTAATTCTACTTCACTTTCACACTAACAGCTTTGCAGAGTAGAGTGAAGACTAGGTTGAAGTATAGTGAATGTTGCTGCTGCAGTGTTAAACTAAGAGCAGGTACTACTAAACACAACATATGCTACATAACCATGTGCATCAGCTGACAACAGAATTGTATGTAAGGGTTTACAAGATTCCTGAATGTGGTCTAAGTCATCTCTCCCCATCTGGAGAGATTTGGGGGTTTTCTTGTACTGTGACCTCTGTAGTTAACACATTTCTGTCAAACTATGAAATATCAGGGAAGGATGAGATTTCAAGTTCCTTATGCATTTGTCCTCCACATGCTCTATTTTCCTAGTTTAACCAAGTTTCTTTTTTACTTCATCAAATGGAATTAAATCTAAATATATTTGTGTAAATACCAAACAAATTGTTTTGAGGATCATAATGATATATGAAATCCCATTCTGCAGAAATGTGATCACTTGACAAATGTAACAGAAACAGAGTTGCCTTCCATGCCAGGAAGATTTAGAAAAAGCACTGTTCTAAAATCATATGAATATCCTGCAGAGTTTTAGTTACTCTTATAGCTATCTAAGACAAATATTGTGGGAATCTGAGATCTCAGTACAGCTTTTATCTTCTAGTGCCCCCTTGTGAATAAGGAAGTCTGTAAAGTAGCAGCCTTCCACAAGCAACCACAACACACTCAACATTCCTGATGTGCCCTCCAGCCCCCTGAAAGAAAATATTTGCTCTAGTGATTTAGAGATGCCTTTTTTTTCCTGTACTACCAAAATCATATAACTGATGTTCATACAGCAGTATAGTCCAGTGGTATAGGATATGTAGCTAGGTCCAGAAATTTTAAATGGTGCTGATAAATCAATACGATTAGTAGGAATTCACACTTTAAATGACCCAAAAAAAAATTTTTTAAAAGCAGGATCAGCAACACTGAGGTGCAAGTAAGAAAGCACCGTTTCACTTTACTTAACTGTTATAGTTGCAATTCATGTATGTTTATACAATGTTGTAATTTATTCCATAATACAGAAGTTCCCTACTGTTATTGATGGACTACTTCTCTTTCCCTTAGAACTTAACAAACACATTTCCATACCTTGAGAGCCTTTCCTTGCTTGCACAGAACCGCAGAACAAGCGTTCCTTGGCAATCCCTTTGTCTACAAGACCTTGCCTTTGCCTCATCCCCTGCACCATTCCTTTACTCCAGTTCCTGCACACTGTCCTCAGGGCCATTCTGTTTTGGGGAGCAGGAGAATCCCCTTTGAAAAAACCATACTCCCTGATACCCCCCAGATTGGCTTTGGAAGAGGGGTCAGCCCTCTGACTAACAGCTGACAGGAACTGAGTGGAGAGGCCTCACAGTTCAGTGGAAGGAAACTCCCACCCCACAGTGCAGCTTCCCGCCCTATTGTTAAATACTAGGGTTTTAGCACTCTCTTGAGAAGGTACTAGCATGGGACGGGGTGCCATGCATTGCATGTTGCCACAGAATTCTCCTTCCTGCCACAAGGCATAGCCTTCCTCCTTTGCAGTGAGCCTGATAGAGCTTCACATCCTGTTTCCAACTGAAGAGCCCCATCAATGGCCAGCCTTTGTTGCCCATCAGTGGAGGTTTACACATTAGCCCAGTATCAGAATTTCCAAATCTGTAAAGTATTTTCCCTTGGACAGGCTAACAACAACCTCTCCAGAATATTTATAGATGAAAAGGATAATTGGGCAACTATCAAATGAGCAGAATAACAAGTAGGAGAATGAAATAATTTTTTATCTAAATGGTAAGGCAACTGCACAAAAGAATTTCTGAATATTGTACACTATGTTGACGGTGGAATATTACATTTTTCTCTGTATAAAGTAAGTTGCTATGCAATTAAAAAAGGTGGCGTCTTGGATAATTGCACCTTGAGAACTGAGATCCAATACATGAGTCTCTTATATTAACAGCAGAAAAAGAGAACTAAGTCTAAAAATTAATAAAGGGAAATGGAAGATAAATTTTAATTGACCCACACTATTTGAGTCTGTAGAATTGTTTACTGCATATGTGATTTAAAAGTTAAGGAAACCACCCTAATATATAATTTCCAAAGTTTCTGATATATGAGTGAATTTATAAACAATTTTAATCTTTTTTGGAAAAGCAGGGAGGGGCTTAATGCTCAAATCCCTTTATGCCTTGAAAAATAATGAATTAGATAACACTCCTTCTGAGGGGAAAGAACGGCATAATTTACCTTCACTATGACTGTCCTAGCAAGGTTTATGTAAACTATTACTATTACCAGCTGAGTTTGTCCAGTAGTTCAAGACATGTGCTAGGCAGCAATGCGGCCCGTGATTAGTATGAGGAGAGGGTATTCTAAAGCTGGCTGTTTTTCACAAATGGAAAATCAAATGGAACTAGCAGAGACCTGCACACCAATGTGGCAGAGATCCTTTGAGGAAATGAAACAAACTGCATATTACAACTGAAGTCACAGTATGGTTTTAAAAATGGATTATACTATGAAGGAAAAATGCATAAAAATAACACACTATATATTCAAGAAAAAATATTATTTGAGCAGTTGCTATTCTTTTTTTCTCTCACACATACACCATACATCATACAGACACACATATATGGTAGCCTTACTTCTCTCCCAATCTCTCATACACCCACCCACCCAGCCACCAACACATACACACACCAACACTCACAATAGATCTAGCTTATCTGACTGTCCATGCACATTTGGACTTCTGTCTTAGCTTCCTTTCCACTTTCGTTTCACATAACGCCAAGCTAGAAAAAGTGTTGTGAAGGACTCAAAAGCTGCTCCCTCCCTTTAAGACGTTTTAGTTGGTCCTTTCAAAGAGATTCCGTTCCAGTGGCTTTGGGATTGGGTAATCTAGAATTTATGATTTTGCTTTATCTCCTTAGTATTTGTGTGCTGGGGCATTTATGCAATATTTTTAGCCACAATACAATTCCAATTAAATATTTTAAAAAGCTATCAGTTTAAGCTTAAATGTTCTATCCTTCCTTCCTTCCTTCCTTCCTTCCTTCCTTCCTTCCTTCCTTTCTTTCTTTCTTTCTTTCTTTCTTTCTTTCTTTCTTTCTTTCTTTCTTTCTTTCTTTTTTATTTAAATTTATTATGTCTGCCCACTCCAGAAGACTCTGGGCAGCTGACAGTATCCAAATATACAAGTAGAAATAATGGCATAGCAGCCTGGACTGAAAACAGCCCTACCAATAAAACACAGCTGACACTCCATAGGCACACTACTCCCCAGACTGGGAACAGTGCCAGGTCTTAAGGGCTTTCAAGAATCCCAGGAGAATGGATGCTGTCCCTATCTCTGGGGCATGCTGTTCCAGGGGTGAGGCAGCAACAGAGAAGGCATGCTCCCATGGTCTCACAAGATGACATTTAATTGAGGGTATCTGGAGGGTACTGTCTCTGTCTGAACGTACTGGGTGGGCAGAAGCAATTGGAGATAGGTAGTCCCTCAGATTACCAGGCTCTGTGCCATGAAGGGCTTTATAGGTAACAACCAGCACCTTGAACTGTACATGGAAGCCAGTTAGCAACCAATGCAGTTTGCAAAGCAGCTGTGACCCAGGGGCATAAAGAGAAGTGCCCGTTACTGCTTGCACAGCTGCATTTTGAACCAGCTGTAGCTTCATGATGGTTTTCAAGGGGAGCCCCATGTAGAGCACATTGCAATGGTCCAGTCATGAAGTGACTAGGGCATAAATGAGCTTCTGAAGGGCCTTCTGGTCAAGGAAAGGGTCCAAGTGGTTCACAAGATGAACCTGTACAAAGGCTCTCCTGGCCACAGCTACCACTTGCTCATTCAGCAGTAATTGCAGGTCCAAGAAGACCCCCAAGATGCAACCCCATCCAAGACCAATGGTGGAAATGTCCCTGTCAAGGGGGCCAAGCAGCCACAACCACTCAGTTTTGATGCTGTCCTCCCCATCAAGACCTGAACATTCTCCAGACACTGGGCCAATACATTGACAGCTTCACCTGTGCAGCCTGGGGTTGGGATGTAATGCTGGGTATCATCAGCACACTGATGATACTGGACCCCAAACTGCAGATGACCTCACCCAATGGTTTCATGTTCCTCTAATTCAGGAGGTATTAATAATATCTTTTAAGACCAAATAAGTCCCACTGATTTTGAGACGACTTCCCATCAAGTAAATGTGTTTAAGAACTGGTTGAAAATATATTTCCCATAACATCCAATTTACTATAATTTTGGTTTCAAATTAGTTTGTTTAATAAGTTGTACTTAATATTTCTGCATGTCATAGAAATTATTTGCAAGAATAATAAGGTTCTGCACTGCTTTGAAAATGTTTCAGGAGAAATATTTTGGAC